TGCATACCTATCTGTGCTGACTCGTTGCTGCTGTTCTATTCAGAATGAGAAGATGGAGACTGTTGGATCAGAAACTGAGGCATATGCTATAGCTGACACCATGGCTGTAAGTATTATCATCAAAAATTTGTTGTTCTAAAATATTAATTACATCTGGTTATGAATTTATCTTCCATGGATTGAGGTAAGCAGTCCAAGAAGTTCAAGAATAGCTGGGGTTTTGTGTCTGATGATTTTTGTTTTTATCTTGCACAAGGATCATTATGGGGTATATTTGTCTGTGTAGTTACAAGTTATGAGGAAATAGCTCGGTAAAATAGTTTGTGTGTATAGATTTTTAGAGTGTTTTGGATAATTATTCATTTTTTAGCTGTTTGACATGCTTTAAATTGAACTTGTTCATTTTTCCTTTTGTTTCTGTCTATCTACCTGAAGTACTGCAAAGCAGACGTCTACACTGTGAATTGTGGCATGGCATACGGTCAAGCAGCAATGCTTCTATCTCTAGGAGCCAAGGGTTTTCGTGCAGTACAGCCAAATTCATCCAGTATGATTCAACTTCTCTTTGTGACTTAGAGATGAGTATAAATTCTTTTGGGAAAGATGTTATTGGCCTCTATCCTTTCTACATTTTTCTACTCTTATCTGTGATTGACAAAGCCATGATTAGGGAATTGATATTCACTGCCTTCTTAGAATAATTTCTTCAGAATTTTCTAATTCTGCCTGCTGACTAAATGGTTTACTATGGGACTGCCAAGATCAAAATGTTGAGCTTCATATCCTATTTGTATTTTCAGTTTCTAAAGGTCCACTTTTTTTAGTAAGAGTATAACTGCTGGTTTTCTTTTTCAACTTTAAAGCCCTTTTCATCCTCAAAATTCTGATCAACAATTTCAAAAGGGCCCATGAGTTTGCCATCAGATTTTTGTCATAGTAAGAAATGAGGGTCATGTTCTCTTTTCTCTTGTTTTATACAATTTGCAGCTAAGTTATATCTGCCCAAAGTCAACAAATCAACTGGGGCTGCCATAGATATGTGGATTAAGGTGCCCTCTCACTCTATGCTATTGCTTTGTTTATCTGCATTTTTGTTTTAGCTTCTTGTCTGATACATCTTTTTCCTTTTTCAGGCCAAGGAACTTGATGCAAATACTGAGTACTACATTGAGCTATTAGCAAAAGGCACTGGGAAGACTGAGGAAGAAATTGCTAAAGATGTCCAGCGATCTAAGTATTTCCAAGCACAAGAAGCCATAGACTATGGCCTTGCAGACAAGATAATTGATTCCAGGGATGCTGCATTCGAGAAACGGGTATTATTCTTGTTACTGTTCACTATGCTTTTTCCTTAGATTTCATGCACCTATAGCCATCCTCTTAGCAAGTTTTCTTTTTCCTGATCAGAATTATGATGAGATGCTTGCTCAATCAAAAGCAATGAGGGGAGGAGCTGGATTTGGTCCACAAGCAGCTCCTTCTGGATTTAGGTGATCAAAAAGTATCAGTATAGCATGACTATACATGAAGTGAAAACTCACTACTAGTTAGCTCTTTTGTACAATATCTCAAGCTATGCGTAGCTGGTTATAATTTTTGATTTGATCAGGCGTTTTACACACACTGCAGAAATGACACTGTCCAAAACTGTAGACAGGTAGCACTTCCGCTTTGTATATCTATATTTCGGATGAAATATAATGTTAAATTATGTCTAACAAAAAAGGTTCAAGATTTTGTATTGCCATGCTTTAGTAAAGCAAAGAACCATTAAAGTCATCTGATGCATCCTAAGCAAGGCTGGTTCACAGGTTTCAATGCACTCGACATTATCTTGTAGTAGAAATCTTTTCTTTTATTTTTTTCCTTGAAAATTTAGGATCGTTTTAATCCAAGAACCACTTACAAGTTTGTAGAGTGACAATAAGTATTATGAACTCTTGGGATTTTCTCCTAGAACCCACATTACTATGTTATCAGCTTCGTAAGTTACAACAAACTCTTGAGATGAGCAAAACCGAAATAATTGGGAAAGTTCTACAGCGGGCTTGGATAGAGGCTTGTGGCAGAGGGCGTTATTATCATTTTGGCCAAATCTGCCATTGTTATGCAGCTGCATCTTTAATTTTCTGCCCCGCTGTAAGGTAAGCCTTGGATTCACCGACCAAATGACTCACTCTTTATCGTAGTAGTCAGTGTTGAGTCCTAATGGAATATGTAAATTTCATTTGAATTTTCGGCGGTCTGACGGGTAATGAATGACAAGAAGAATTTGTAACAATCCTAAGAACCACGCTTTACGTTCTGGTAACAGAATTAATCCACAGCAGAGAAATATTTCCCAATAGCCAGACATTGTCTAAAATTGTGGTAGCGAATGATGAATTTTTAGATCGTCTGAGCATTACCGAAATTTGAAAACAATGTTCAGTACAAGTCAACTAGTAATATTTTCAACAGAGTGGAAAAAAGCAACAAGAATCATCTTAGCAACTACATTGTAAATATAATAAATTCACAAGGATGTGACGCAACAGGTATAAACAACAAAAAGAAAAAAAATGCTAGCCTATGATTGAAAAAAGGTTCCCAGATTAAGTTCAGACCTTCAGTCACCGAAGCCTTCCAGAGTATTTAACATACATGTCTCAAATTACCACGAAATATGTAAAGATCCTTAATCAGCTATGCTGGAGGGTTAGGATACACTTTTGGTTTTGGCTTCACTTCAATTTCATTTACACTACGTACAAAGATGGCATCCGGTTCATGTCTGCACGAAGAAAGGATAAGATGTTAGAGCTTAAATATGTCAGCATCCTGTATACTTGTGTGATTTTTGTGTGTCTGATAGAGAGAGAGAATTCTTACGGCTTATCCCCTTCTTCAAATGTGTAACTTGAAGCCACAGCCAACAGTCGCCCATCTCTGCTGAATGAAAGAGCAGCAATGCTCATTGGGTACTTTGAATACTACAAAAGATCATTATGTAACAATAGTAAATTATCAGCTCTTAAGTGTAAAATAAAACTGCACTTCAGTCCAATCAATACCTGATACAGCCTCTTCTTGTTGTTTCCATCCCAAACATTAACAAAACCATCACAACCTCCAGTTGCAAATGTACCATAGCTGCAGTTTGAAAGTCATAGCAGAAATTCGCAATCATGTGAGGGGAAAGAAACTGATATTAATTATTTTCAAGATCCATTGTTAAACTTCCATCAAAATTCTTTTAGTTTTGAGCCAACTCAAAAGCATTACCAACAAACCTTGAACCTCACATGTCTTCGAAGCAAAATGTAGGATGTTACTAGCAAGAGAAGTTTGCAATAACTTTTTTTTTTTTTGAAAAGTAGTTTGCAATAACTTTATTTGCTCAGCAATATTTGAATCAAATAAGAGAAAAAATTGACCAATGTGTCTAGCACACTTCTAATTGGCCATCTCAACATGAGAATCTAATTTTTAAATTACTCATTGTCAATCCATTGTTAAACTTCCATCAAGATTCTTTTAGTTTTGAGCCAACTCAAAAGCATTACCAACAAACCTTGAACCTCATGTCTTCGAAGCAAAATGTAGGATGTTACTAGCAAGAGGAAGTTTGCAATAACTTTTTTTTTTTTTGAAAAGTAGTTTGCAATAACTTTATTTGCTCAGCAATATTTGAATCAAATAAGAGAAAAAATTGACCAATGTGTCTAGCACACTTCTAATTGGCCCATATCAACATGAGAATCTAATTTTTAAATTACTCATTGTCAATTCAATTGTCCATGTTTGCCACTCATACACAAAAAGCCAAAATGCTCTCAAAGGCAATGCTAACATTATTTTTGATAATCAAGGACAATATTTGCGTACTACATCATACATTTAATATACAATCTTCCAGAACTGATCTTTCAGCTAGCTTGATTCTCAGGTTTTCAACCTCTTTTAAGCATTTCTTGGTATGGTTGGCCTCTTAATCTAAGCATAAAGAAAAAGTTAAAAACTTGTCCAGTAACTTACACAGGATGGAATGCAATAGCATTTACTGGATATACAATGTCCCGTCCCGCCTCAGATTTTCGGTGGCACTTAAAGGCATACCTACAAAAGTCCAAAATAGCCATCAATAAAAACAAATGATAGATGAAAAACAGGTAGGATCAGTAGGTCAGTTCCCAAAATCTATAACATATCCAGAGAGCCAGCATATATATCATGATATAGAGCTCAAACGGATTAATTGAGAAATACTTTTTGGCTTGACTTGCTTCTGAGAGATCAAAGAACTCCATTGCAACTCGCCCTTCAACCGAACTTAGAGCATATCCTGCATAAACTTGTCTAATGAGAAGCAATTTCACACAAAAGATGACGGAAAAGATAATGTCTACAAATTTAGTTAAATGCTAGTAATCAGCCTTCCTTTAAATCCTTTAATAATTAGTTTCTGCCCCTATAAAAACTTGCCGGACTTAAGAAGTAATACCTGTTCCATTTGGATAACATCTCACACATCTAGTTTGATATTTCAATGACGATTCCCTTCGTTGCTCAGGTTGAGACATATTTCGCAAGTCATAAACATTCACATGTCTTCCTGCAGTTGCCACTACTAAACGATTTCCAACAAGAGATAATGAGTAAACACGCTCAGGTTGTGGGTATGTGCCGACAAGAGTGCGCTCCTGCCCACTTGCACCTCTTGGATCCCAACATTTCAATGTCTTGTCCCAACTGCCTGTGATCACTTGTCCTATAACAATGGAAAGAAACATTAAGGATTTTCACGTTTTCTTAAATGAAACAAGAAGCTCAAGCTCAAAACCCCTGTACAGTAAATTTCTTCAAGAATCCGATAGCACCAGCATAACATATTATTTTAACCTTCAAAAGTTATATTCATATACGATAGCATTCAGTGGAACTTGTGATTAAAATAATCCAAGTATGATTCAGCTTGTGTCGATCCTTACAGATATAATCAGCTAATTAAGTTGAACTTTGTGAAGAAAACACTCTATCCTCTCACTTTCTTCTTCAGTTAAACCAAAGGTAAATACTTTTCCATATCTTTTCTGAAAAATTGAAACTCAGAAGCATATTCTACACAAAGATATAAAAATTTAATTTTGAATGGCAAAATCAAAGCCATATCATCTTCAAATCTGCAACAAAAAACACAAAAAAACAAAATGAAAACAGAAGATTAGCTATTTTAACCAACCTGCTGCATAAGAGTACTCTATACAACGCACTGGAGCATCATGTCTACCTAAAATATCCTCCTTTCCATAGCTGAATACTATCCTGCAAAATTAGCAGCTCAATCTTAAGCTTCGTTTTAAGTTTATTTTCCTAATCATTCTCGAGAATCAAGTAGAAAAATAAGGGCAAAAACCAAAGTCCAATTAACTAACCTCCTAACGGTATTGTCAGCACTGGCACTGAACCCAGAGGAATCGTCGTGGAAGCAGCAATCAAGTACGGGCCCACCGTGCATGAACTCTCCTCGCAACGAATTAGCGCTTGCGTCGTACAGCCTCACAGTCTATGGTTAAAAATTTTAAAAATTACAAAAAGCCGATAACTGGAAATCAAAGGAAACTTAAAATTTTGAAGGAATTTGGTGGTGAGGTAGCACCTTATCCCATGAGGAGACGAGTAGGTGATCGCTGTGATTGGAGAATCGAAGGTTCGAGATCCCGTCCATTGGAGGGTTGGAGAGCTCTCGCCCTGGTGCCGGAGGCGGGTGGACAGCTGTCATCGCTTGATTGGCTGATAGATAGGAAAGGACTGACAGTGAGAGTTTTCTAGGGTTTTCAGAGAGGGAAGAACTGTTACTGAGTGAGGTGCGAGAGAGGGAGAGAGAAGGAGAGGGAAGAAGATTTGAAATTTAGAATTCTTATCATTCGAATCGGCCAAAGGCCCAAGCCGTCTCAAATTTTGCCAACGGCCGAGATAAACAAAAAATTAAAACAAACTTTGAATTCAAAATGGGCTAAGTATTTCCATTTACGCAATAACCCATTCGTTACTCATTTAATTACACCAATGCCATTATATGCAAGTATGCCGGCCTGTCATGTTGTCAACTTGGATATAGCCCAAAAGAACAAAGATAAGGCATAAGCCCAGCCCGTCCTTGAATCCCCTCTCAACGGTCCAATCTAAAAAATTTGACATTATCGAAGTTCTTTTCTTTCTCAGTTTATAATAACGGGTTTTTGGTGATTTGCAGTTTATAATATAATAATTGAGATAAAAATAAATCGTCGAAAAATAAAAAAATAATCACTGCGTAACGGGATCTTAATCGGCAAAAATCGCAAACCGAAGGAAGGTTTTGTTTTCTCTGTGCTTGGAGCAAAGCAAACCAACAGAAAGACTCATCAACCAACACAAAGCGAAAATAATTTTTAATGTGAAATAAAATTTTTTTCATTTCCTTTCAATTCAGATCTTTCCTTTTTTCTCTCCGATCTTTGGCTTACCTTAAACCCTAGGTAATTTTTCAGTCAATTTTCACCTCAATCCATTTCTAAAATCCGAAGCTTTGTATACAACGTTATTGAACTCCAAGTGATCGATCCCGTTCTTGCTCGCTTCTCTATGCAATGGTGGTCTGCAAATGCCGCAAGGTATGGTTCTTTTTTTCTCTATTTGTTCTCAAATTTTTTATTGCTTGATAGACTCACTGCCACTCTTAGAGCTGTAGATTTGCAATTTTTCGTGTCGATATTTTTTTTATCGTTTATTTTTAAGAAATTTGTAATTCATCGTTGGAGGTTTAGATCTATCAGTTTTTAGTTTATCGTCTTAAACAATTTACGACTTTGCAGATCTTTGTTGTCTTAATTTTATAGTATTTCAATTGGAAAATGCGAATTTGAAAGGCTTTGATAAATGAATCGAAGGGAGAGGGACACCGACCTTGATATTTAGAGGTTCAAGTGGAATGTAGCTTAATATGTTATGAATTTAGTAGTGTGTTACATAGAAAAACTTTTAGAGTTGATTTAGTTGTTTGGATTGAAGATTTACGAATGTCTCTTTGGTGTTTCAGGCGACAAAGCTATATTGTTTCGTGCACAAGGTTCCCGTTTGTGGAGAATGCATCTGTTTTCCTGAGCACCAAATATGTGTGGTACGTTTATAACATTCTGTTCATTTTGCATACAAAAGGCAGAACTATATTGCCAACAAACTTTGACTAGATTAAAATAAAGGAGTGGTCGTACTACAGTGAGTAGGAGCTAAAAACAAAAGTAATTCTATCCATACCAGGAAAGGGGGAAGGGTGGGGATCTGGATTAATTATAGTTGAGGCTTTTGCAGAGTTAGAACACTTCTTGTAAAAATTATGTTTATGTCATGAATTGATTTTTGGTTGGTGTACAACCTTTTTGCAACTATATGTGTCCGGATATGTTGGATTTATTAATGGTTTTGACTTTTTTCTATGATATATCTGTGTGCATTTCTCTAAATTATATGCAATATCATGAAAAAGCTTTTGTATAATGTGCATATGCCCTTTTCTGCTGTGTATATTTACAAGTGTTATAAATCAATTCTGATTGGAGATGTTGTATAGAATGCTGTTTTGGGGCTTATAATGTATTTTTTATTCCATTTTGCTCTAGATACGTACTTACTCAGAATGGGTAATAGACGGAGAGTATGACTGGCCTCCCAAGTGTTGCAAGTGCCAAACTGTGCTTGAAGAGGGGGCTGGCTCTGAAACCACTCGATTGGGTTGCTTACGTATGTGATTAGACTGATGTAGATACTGCCTCTTGTTGTTTTCTTGCAAATAAAGCATGTTGGAGTTGTGCTATATAATCTTACTGTTATATTTTACTACTTTAGATGTCATACACACAAATTGCTTGGTTTCACATATCAAAAGCTTTCCTCCGCACACTGCACCCGCTGGATATGCATGTCCTTCATGTTCTACTTCGGTAAGTTTTCTAAAAGCTGTTTATTATATTATCTGAATGAGTTAACTGTTTCATGTCCACATGCTTCTGTATAGTATTATTCAAGTGATAAATAAAAGTTCACAAAATTGATGGCGACAATGTACTTGAACCTAACAAGTGGTCGGAAGCATCTAGATGCTAAATGTTTCCAGGCTTCAAATCGTTGATGGACAAGAGATCGTTAACAGTAATAGAAACTACTGTGGTGCTGCTTCCTTTTTTGGAGCTAGTCATATGAGTATTTGATAGATGAAAGCTTCTTTGCTGATTGTCTGATATTTTCCAAGTAACTTTATTTACTTGAACCTTTTTCATGGACTTAGCAACAGCAGAGAATGGAGATTAATAAATGGAACAGCATGTAATTAACATTTTCTCATGTGTGGGAAGAATTTCTATGATCTGTTACTCGAGGACTCAAGACTGTAATTAATGTTCTTGTGGCATTCCTCAATTTGTTTACATATATGCTTGGATAATAGCAGTTATGTCTGATGGTCTTGGCTATAACTTACTTCTTTCAGTGTTTGTTCTTTTTCTTGTCTTATTTTGCATTGGTTTCTTACCCAGATATGGCCTCCCAAGAGTGTTAAAGATTCAGCGTCCCGTCTTCATTCACTGCTGAAGGAGGCTATTATGCAGGTGAGTTTATGCTTGGTTTGGGCTGTTACAGAGAATTGCTCATTCTAAATCTAAAGTGAACTTTGGATATCTATTTGTCTTTTCAGTATTTTGGTTATCAAACTATTCTTCTGCTTTCCTTTAAGTACATCCTATGCTTCTTCATCATATTGCCTGTTGGTGCTTTGGAAGTCCTCTCGCCAGTTGTAAATTGTAATACGGTAGTTATGCTTTTCAACATGCGCTGATCAAGCTTGATTTGGGCCTTTCATTGGTTTGACATGAAAGTTGCAGGATTTAACTGTTCCCATGGTAGAGGTTTCCAAAATGGATGGCCTGCATTCTGCTAAGAAAATTTCCCCTGTCAAATGCATAAATCAGCAGAACCAATTTCTTGCAATGAAAGTTGAGATAAATGTAGGCCATATAAGTCTGTTGGCCAAACCTTTTTTTTTTCCTGGCGCACTTAAAAGCATTTAACTGCAAGGAAGTTTCTGAAATCTCATTTCTGAAGTTATGTCAAGCTTATAAGAGTCAAAATTTTGTCACTGGAATTTTGCATTTCCCAATATTTTGGGTGCCCGCACAATCTTCTGATGCTTCGAAACACTGAACATCGATTGCCTCGAAATTAACCTATAAATATGTGTTGATCATCTGTAAGAACTGCACCAAATGAAAAAGTGTTTTGGATTGATTGGAGTTTTAGCATGCTTCATTTCAGTTTTATATTGTAGTCTTATTTTTAGGATAAATACAATTTGAGTTCTTATTATATCTGCTTAAATAAATTTTAAATGACTTGACTTGCTATTGTGCAGACCGGCGTGGAGAAGAATTTGTTTGGAAATCATCCTGTTTCTTTGCCTACGACAGAACCCCATGGTCCTCCACCTGCATTTGCTTCAGATCCACTGATAAATTTTACCTCAGCTGGAGGAATAGAGTATGATGGGAATTTATCACCCTCTGTGGCAAAAGATGAAGGATACGCAGCTGTTGGAGGACCTTCTAAACTTACGGTGACCGAAATAATGGAGATAGATGGTCCTAGTTCAGCTGGGAATTACATGAAAACTTCAAGCCCTGTTGCTGTAAGGGATTTTTTGTTAATTATTGGATGTGAACTGAATTGTTCAAGTCATGTTAGGTTTTGCTTGCTTGCATGTGCCAATTCCAGTATGTTTGTTGTTTGTTATCTTATTTGGTTATTTGTTCTATGTTGCTATGAAACCCAGCCTGTGGCTACAACACGAAAGAGTACAGTTCATGTTGATAGGCAAAACTCTGAAATCTCATATTATGCTGATGATGAAGATGGAAATCGTAAGAAGTACTCTCGTAGGGGTAAGTTAAAAATGCCCTGGTGCATGAAGCCATTCTGCGTTCTAATTGATTAGAACTTTTCCAATGTCTGACCTACTATTTTTGGTCTGAGCGTTTCTTATTGCATCCATCTAAGGTGCTATCTAAGTGTGTTCTTAATGGAGAACTTAAACAAGATAATATTTCTTAGGACTCTCATAATTTATTCCATGCTCTGATCTCATATTCATGATTCCTTTTATTGTATTTGTAATTTGTTGTTGTAGGTCCACTTCGTCATAAGTTTCTCAGAGCATTGCTTCCCTTCTGGTCTAGTGCATTACCAACTCTACCAGTAACTGCACCTCCACGTAAAGATGGATCTAATGCAGATGATGTCCCAGAAGGTCGTTTGAGGCATCAAAGATCAGCACGGATGGATCCAAGAAAAATTCTTCTCGTCATAGCAATCATGTAAGTGTGTGTTTT